TGAACTACAACAGAGCCATGCAGACAAGTCTAAGAGGTGTTTACCTTTCCAGGGAGAACATTCCATACTTACCTCAGCTGACTCCGTGGCTTCCGCACGCTCCTGCTTCTCAGTTTTGACCTCTTTGGCAGGAGCAGAGATCTTCAGGCTGGCCGGCAGGACAATGTTGTCTGTTCCCAGAGCTTTGGCAGCATTGGCTTTTGCAATTTCCAGGAGTTCCCTCTTGTCTAGAAGAGAAAGGAATGAAAAAAAAAGAAGTGCTTTGTGTCACGTTAAAATCCACGTGCATCTACTCAAGCCTAAATTGTTCAGGTTTCATTCAAGCATCAACTGGGACTGATCTCATCACAGCCTTCAGAACATAACGTTCTGAAGAACAATTTTTATTAAATACATCTGTCCAACCACACTGAGGTTTTCCCTCACTTGGGCTTTACAAACCAATCAAGCAAAGGAGCATCTGCCTCATCCAAACAACACCTGTTTGTGGGCTCTCACATAAAGAAACCCCAAAAAACCCCCTCAAGTACCTTTTTCACTGAGGTGCAGAGGTGACCTGCTCCGAGAGCGTGTCCGGGAGCGGCTCCTCCAGCTCCTGTAGGCCTCGGGGTAGACGGTTCTGCCGAAGCCGTAGTACCTGCGGCCGCGGGAGCGCGAGCGGCTCCGGGAGTAGGAGCGCCGGTAGTAGGCCCTGCCGCGGGAGCGGGAGCGCGGCCGGGGGTAGCGGTGCCGGTAGTGCCGGGCCGGGTAGCGGCTGCGGTAGCGCCGGCAGCCGCGGGAGCGCGAGCGGCTGCGCGAGCAGGAGCGGGAGTAGCGCCGGGAACGCCGCGAGCGCCGCGCACGGGAGCGAGAGCGGGACCGGGAGCGGCTCCAGCTGCGCGAGGAGCGGCTGGAGGAGCTGCTGGAGCTGGAGCGGGAGCTGCACGAGGAACGGCTGGAGGAGCGGCTGGAGGAGCGGGCGCAGCTCCGCCTGGAGCTCCGCGGTGATTCCCTCTGCTGGGGCGAGCTGAGGCTCAGCTCGTCCATGAAATCCGTCATGTCGTCCGCCTTGCCGGCTTTCTGCGCGCCCTCAGCGCCTGCCTCGGGCTTGGCTGCTGCTCTGCAGTGCCCGGTCTCTGTTCCTGTGGGGTGCAGAGAGGAAGCTCGGCGTTTCTGCGTCTCCTCAGCAGCAAGGCCGGGGATAAAGAAATTCCCCAACAACCCCCAACCACCTCCCAGTAACAACTGAACTCTGCAATTCCCTCTCCTGCAGCCACAGAACTCAAACACAAGGCTGTATCAAAGAAAGGCTTCAGTTTAAACCATGTTCTGTGTGGAATTTGAGGGAAGTCCATGTGGGTTTTAAGTAATTCCTTTTGCAACACCTTTTTTTCCCTCCAAAAAGGTAAAAAAGACATTCTTGAAAATAAATTTTCAAGGTATTTTATCTTCCATCTACCCTAAACACAGCCCATTGTATCTACAAAACAAAATAACCGTTTGCCTTCCAGCTCTGTACAAACTGAGGAGTTTTCTGCTACAATTCCACTGAGGTTTTTACTCCAACAAGGAGAAACTAAAGTATCTTTTAAGTACAAATCAGATGAGATCTTGCCTGTATCGTGCCATAACAGCATCCACACATCCCAGCAGTGAATGCAACAAGCTGCTGTTCAAAACATTCTACATAACAGCAGAGCCCAGGTGATGATTCAGCGATGCTTTATGGCTCTATATTAATAATTAAAATGGCTGTCCCTGGAGTGGCAGCCATTTTATGGCTACAAAGGTTACTCGGGGTAAGGATCTTATCACAAGACTTAAGCCCTGAGTTGCGTAACCAGTTTACACTTTAGGGAAGCTTGCTTTGACACCGAATTTCTATTTAGCGCTCAGCGCAAAGCGACGTTAGGCAACAAATCCAACCCCCGCACTGAAATGTGTAATTTAAGTTGTGTGAGAGTTGTCAGACGCACTTCTCTCGCTACTACTCCAGGTAAAGTTTCACTGCTTCACCTCTACGCTAGGGCCAAGGTCACACGGGTGGGACGGTAATTAAGATAAATCCCCAAGTGCCGCTTGCCATCGCCAACCCCCTCCCGGCCCGTGTCCGGCCCGGTCCATCGGGGCCCATGGTCGGTACCGGACCCCCCGAGCCCTCAGAGTCCCTCACTCACCGCTGGGCGCCGCCGGGCACGCCCCGCGCTGGTTTCCCTGAGGCACCTGGGCGCTCCTGGAATAAAACCAATAAAAACCCGTAAAAATCCACCCGGGAGGGATCCACGGCCCTCACACCGCAGCGGCCACCGCGATCGGCCTCACCCGCATCATACCCCCCCCCGACCCGCCGCCTCACCGGCTCCAGCCCGCCGGGCTGCCCCCGCACGGGTCCTGAGGGGAGAGCCCCGCTTCCTGAGTCACCCCCATAGCGCCGGGCCCGCTGCGCCAGCCGCGATCGGCGACAGAAGCGCGACAGAAGCGCGATAGAAGCGCAGCTCGCAGCCGCCTCCACCCGCTGCCGCCGCCCGCCAGCGACTGAGGGCCGGCCGAGAACCTTCCAGAACGTCCCTCCCGTTACGCAACCCGCGCGCTCGCGGCGCACGCGCCGGCCCCGCCCCCGGCGC